GTCCCACCCTGTTTTGAGAGCTAGCAGGACCTGGGATTCTCTCTAAGTGGATGTAGGAACCAGCACATGTCATCCTGAGTGACACCCTTTCACTGTCCACCACTACCATCTATAATAATAAAAGGGTAATATGCTAATTAGACCAGACATCCTTCCGGACGACCTTCTGGATGAAGCCAGAGCTGCGCGAGGGAAGCCAGTGCCGGCAGCCAGGGGAAGGAAAGCCTATTCTTGCACAAATTCCGTGCATTGGGCAGAAAAACCACAAAAGCATAGGCACAGACTAAGCAGTGTATGTGAAGGCCAGGGGATTACTGTGTGGGGGCATTTGTTATTTTTTGGCCACAATGTTTTCCTCTGGTGCATAACCTCTGGCCCATGGTGTGCATCTGGGTGGGGCTCTGTGAATAAACTAGGTACTCAGCGCTAACCTAGCTGACTTTAGTGGCAGCATGACAGAACGGGTAAAAGAAGGGTGGGCGCCTCCATTATCATCAGATCCCTAATGAGATGCGCATGGGGTTCCTGCCAAGGCCACTCCTGGTTCTCCAACCTTCTCTTCAATTCTACAAACTCAGCCCCTAAGTGTACACATGTATGCATGGGTACACACACACACACACACACACACACACACACACACACAGTAGCTATGTTGTGGGAGGCTGCTGAAAGAAGTTCATTCGTAAGTAACTCACTGTCAAGCTAGCATCCCAGAGAACTTTAGAATAGTAGGCCTGGGCCAGCACCTGCAGCTATAGGCTGCAATGTGACTAAACCGTGCAGTGTACAATTTACACAACTGTATGTAACAGCCTACTAGGTGCTCTATAAATATTGTTATAACTGTGGTATGAAAGAGAGAGGGTTTGGCTGTGTTGGCTAACCTAAGAAAGCAGGTTGGGAAAGAGTGTGATGAGGGAGGCAAAGAGGAAGAGGAAGAATGAGAATGGAAGAAATCACGTAAAAGCAGCTTCAAGTAATTCCCTTCCAGTGCCTTATCCGAGGCTCCTTCTTTTCCTGTGGACTTACAGCAGAAACCACAACCAACCCTCAACATTCCAGTCCCCCTCTATTGACACTACAATAGAAGCAATAAGGTTCAATGTTAAAAGATTCGATTTTTTGACAACTTTTTGTGAAAGTGTCATGTCTGTCCTTTATCTATAGGGATTTATAATTGTAAAAAATTACCTTTAGGTTGTCTTACATGTCTTTTATCCATTGGTCTTTGCTTTTTCTGTTTTACTTTCCTCTCCTCACATCCGTTCCCCTGAGAAAAGGGGAGACAGATGAGGCACAAGTTCGAGGAAATTAGAAGAGGCTTTGACATGAGGGGAGAGAGACAAAGGGCAAAAAGGAAAATAGTAGGGACAGGGGAAGAGAGGGGGAAGTGAAGAAGAAAGAAAAAAGTCACAAGCAGGAGAGAAAAAAAGCACAGAAAGAGAGGGAACGTATTCTGGGTCTTAAATTCAAATGATGTGCCAGCCATCTCATCAAAAATGTCTTTATTCTTTCCAATGGAGCCCGTTGTTAAGTTTCACAAACAGGTTTCCTTTAAGGTCCTCCCACCCTTTCTCTTTTTAGCCTCGGTTTTATCAACACAAAATGACCCTGCCCATTTAGGATTCGGAAGAATTTGATTCGTAATTGGAAAAGAAAGGCTAGTGGGGATGGGGAGGACGCTCCCAGTATTTCATAAGAACTTTCCCCTCTCTTCTTTCCTTGGATCTCTATTCTTTGTCTCATTCCTTTACACATTTGGAAAATACCATAGGTTCACAGATAAGCCGATTTTTTTCAGCAATGTTAAGGAGAAGAAAGCCTAGGAAGATAAGACATTGAAAGTCAAGAAGGAAGAGAGATGGACCCAGATCCGGAGAGACAAGGTTAGCCTAAGCCCTGCCTTGTAGCCTTCTTGTAAAAATGCATTTGAAGTGCCTCTTTACCCAAAATCTTACTGAGAAAGGAGAAAAAGTGTGATTCTTTCAAACTGCTGAGAGATTTGAGAGAAATGAGTTAGAAACCATGCCTGCAGCTGGCCATTGCCCAGCAGTGGGGTGAGTGAGAATCTGAGAGGGTAATAGGACCAGGGGTTCGTTTTACTGCAGTGGGAGCACTCATTATTCGGGCTTCTACATAGAGTAGAAATGGGGTAGAAATCAGATTTACAGACTCAATTTCAGTCTACACTCAGTCTAAATTCAATGAGGCATTATGATTCCACTAATCTTTGCTTTTCTTGGGGGAAAGAGTGCTCAGTGTGCGTAAGAGGGGATGAAAGGGGAAAACGAAGTGATTCAGAGCAGTGTGAAAAAGGGGAAAGAAATGCTAATCAGAGGGAAAATTGAAAAACTATACAATCCTAAGTAATGAAAAATGGGAAGATCGAGGAAAGAAAAATGGAAAGAATGAGAAAGTACATGAAAGAAAACAAACAGGGAAAAAATTAATACTTTTGAGAAACCTGCATGCCAGACTTGCATCCTATACTGTCCTTGGGACTTAACAAGCTCAGAGTGGAATTTTGCTGCCCGGGGGCTGTTCTTTGCTTTGCTCCTCATTCCCAGAGCCCTGTTCTAAGCTGCCTCTATATTTACAAAGATGGGCCACCCGGACCACAAACATATCAGCTTATAAAGTCCTAACAGTGGAAAGGGCCCCGAGACAGCTAACCATGCCCCTCCTTCCCCCACCCATGTGCACACACATTTGACAGTTGAGAAAACTGAGGCGCAGAGGGGTTGAATATGAAACAGAGGAAGTGCACTTAGAGGTCAAAGCTAGGGCTTTTGATTCTAAGTTCAGGGTTTGATAGTTGACTTCTTCACTTTCCCAAACTCTTCCAATTCCTTTCCCAGCTTGTATCATGGACTCACTGCTTTCTAGTCGTGTTGCCTCCCAAGCTGTTGTCTTCAGTTTGTTGTTTTTTTGTTTTTTTTTTTCTCTTGCCCCCACAGGTAGTCAGTCCATAAGTCTTGCTGACTACATATTCATGTCCTTTTTATCTCACGGCTTCTTACCTGGTTCAAACCTTGGCACCCTTCACCTGGACTGTTATGATCTCCTATCTCTACTCTGCTCCAGCTTCTCTTAGAAGTTGCAATTGTCCTAAAACGTAACACTAATTTTGTCCTTTCTGCCTTTCCATGGCTCCTCCTTTCCAACCAAACAGTGATGTCCACACTCCCTCACATGGTGCAGGACCTCCACAGGCTGGCTCCTGCCTTGCATTCTGGCTGCACCTCTCTTTGTTCCTGTATTGTCCATGCCCAGCACTACCACACCCCTTTGATTTTGTTCACACCATTCCCTATATCCAGGATATTCTTGCTTCCCCCTTTCTAACTCAAAGACTGCCTCCTTCATAGAGTCTTTCATGATTTTCTCTCTCCTTCTTGAGCTAAAAGTAGGTCTTCCACTTTTCTCTGAAAGCTACACTATCACAAATTTATGTTATTTGTGCATCAATATGTGTACATATTGTTATTTATTTCATTTTGATCTCTCCCAGAGCCTGCCAGTACTTCATATATAATAGATAGGCCCTGGATGCTTGTTCAGTTGAACAAAATTGAGTTTGTGCCAAAAGATAGGTGAAGGAATCAGTCACATGTAGGGTGAAGTTAAAAATATTGATTTCCAGGGAGGGGGGTAAGAGATCAACTGAAGGACTTGTATCCATGCATATAAGCATAACCAATGGACATAAGACACTGGGGGGTAGGGGAGACCACGGGATTGTCAAGGACGGTGGGAAAAAAAAGGACACATATGTAATACCCTTTGTAATACTTTAAGCAATAAAACAATTAAAAAATATTGATTTCCTACATTAATTTAAACTGTCGTTGGCTTAAATAAGGAGCACTTCAGAGTACATGGAGAATGTACTAATTATGTGCTAATGTACTATGCATTAGTGATAAGGCTGCTGTAGATTGACCCTTCCCTAGAGAATGAGAGGAAATATTTGCTGATTGGACATCTCTGGAATTTCTACAAATTCACTTTGATTTCTTTTTGAAATACAATCTGGGGTAGGAATTGATAGATGAAAGTTCTAGACGCTGCAAAGGAGATTTTGCATTTTTATTATAAACGACGATAACATATCCCTGCGATGGTGTCAGGTTCAGCACAGCGGATTGTAACATAGGTGAAGCCAGATTAGGTGAAGCTGATCTGGTACCTGGACACTAATGCCCGGTGGGAAGGCCCAGAGACAAATTCCCCTTGTATAAACACCTATCCTCTAATTATTTGCTTTTTTTGAGGAGGATTCTTGCAAATGTGACTACAAATATCTTTTAAGTGTTGGTTTTTAAAGCAGAAGTATTCCTCCCCCCCCCCCCCCCCCCCACTTAAGTCCAGCGAAATGTGCCTCTGTGTGCCTTCCGTGACATTCTTTCCTGCGCATGACTGGAGCGGAGGTCTGCTCCACCCCCACCGTAACTTAGAAGTGGGTCAGCAGCAAGCCAAGCCGGGGAGGAGCTCCCCACTGGTGCCTATAGGACGACCTCCACGTCAAAAGCTTGTGTTACAATTTTAAAATCCCGAGGCATGAGAATTTGTGAAGAAAAAACTGCCAAACAAAACACTGAATGGAATCACCTGACAGCAAAGCAGAGGCCCAAGCTGAAAGCAGGAGGAAAAGGGGGCGATGACTGCAGATTTACCAAGACATGTACTGGTGGACCACTCCCCTTTCAAATCAGCAAGGACAAGAGGCCCTATTGTTTGGGTTCGGCCTGCAGAGCTAGGCTGGGAGTGGTTCCTGCCCAGGGAGTTAGATACGGGGAACTGGGAAACCGAACCCTACCAGCACAGAAGACTGTGAAGCGAGGGCCCCTACGTGAAAGATCGCAGGAGGACCGGCTCTGGGCAAGAGTTTCTGAGCGCAGGACTCAGAAGGGAGCAGAGGCAGGGGAGGGAATGCGTCAACACATCTCGCTTGATTCCTTCGCTCTTAACTACTCTGCTCCAGGACCCAGAGGGGACTACCAGATACCAGGGATCACAAAGAAATGTAGTGGAATCTGTTCCTTACCTGAAGTGTTTGAATCAGTCCTCATGCTCCTGTAAAAATAAACAACACATTTCAAAACATTTGCTAGTGTAACCACAAGTATCTAGAAAAGCACTACTGGGTGTGAGGTAGCTGCCCCTTCTCGAAATGCTTTGTAGGTAGTAAGGAAACGTGTTTGGTACATCTATGGCATTGTTGATTATAAAACAAATTAAAGTGAAATTACCTAAATTTCTCTAACATGCAAGCTATCCCACCTGCAAAAGCCATATTAATAACATATAATCTATTTTTATTCCCTGCCACTCAATGAGGCTGGGGCATCCTTTCCCTGCTTCCTCTCCAGCCCCTGAAAACTTACTTGGGGTTTAGACCGAGAGAAGCTCAGGGCTCACCCAAAAAGAGCCGGGTGTGTTGGGAATTGTAGACTTTCATAGAGACCTAGGGATAGATTCTAGAAAGGATGGGTGCCTGGGGTTAGAAGTTGTCCGACTCCGCTTGCTTCTTCGTCACAGTCTCTATGGCCCTGATGGGGGCCACAGAGCCTGGGAAACTTGCCAGCCCCCAAGATATGCCTTTTTGTTATGTTGATTATTCTAAGCTGGTTATTTTTAAGAAACAAAAGACTCAGAAAGAACCTTTGAACCACCCCGTCCCGCCCCCCTTACCTGACTAAAGGAATTCAGACAGAAAAACCTACTCAAAGGAAAATCTGCTCACCTTAGTGGCATGTGATCTAAGCGTGCTAGAAAGGAAGCAGCCAAGCAGGGTCAGGTTTTAGACTCCCCCCTGGGTCCCATTGTGTCTGGGTGTCCTGGCAAGATTTGTTTACCAGATGTGTGCTCTTTCTCATCCATCCCTGGATTGCCCACTTTCCTTCTGATGTCCCAGACCCCTGCCCCCCTTCTTTTGGTCTAGAATGGCATGTGAACCTGAACTGCCCAGTCTGTCCTAGAGTCCTCTATTCTTAGGGAACCCCCACATGTACCTATGTAGTAAATTTGATTATTTTCTCTTGTTAATCTGTTTCATGTTCATTTGATTATAAAATTAGCCAGATGAACTTGAAGGGTAAATGGAAAATTCTTTTTCCTCCCCAACACAGGTGAATAACATAGACAAGATGCTGAAACCAGTTTGGCCCGGTGGATAGAGCGTCGGCTTGCGGACTGAAAGGTCCCAGGTTCGATTCCGGTCAAGGGCATGTACCTGGGTTGCGGGCACATCCCCAGTAGGAGACGTGCAGGAGGCAGCTGATCGATGTTCCTCTCTCATCGATGTTTCTAACTCTCTATCTCTCTCCCTTCCTCTCTGTAAAAAAATCAATAAAATATATTAAAAAAAACATAGACAAGTTATTATTTTTCTTATGGTGTAGTGGATAAAATAGGAGAGAAGCTGTCAGTTTTTCAGACTATTTCACTTTCAGAAATGTCTTTGGATTTAGAAGTTTGTTTTCTGCACTCCTAATTTTAAAAATTAATAACAATAATGAAAATACTTATTTTCTTAACCTCATTGGCATGCTAAAACATAAACCTATGTGACTTAATTTTCACTAAATCTGTTTCTTCGTCACATTTTCAATAATATTTTGGAACTGTTGCTGTTGGAGCAAAAGAAAGTGTTTCAGAAAAATAATTGCCCTTAGGTAATATATTCACAGATAAGTACAAAGACATAATTATGATCCATTTCAAGGGTTCTGGCAAATGCATCCAGTTTAAATTCTAATGGATCTTTCCAAAGTAAAGGTTAAGCTAGTAATTTTCTGAGGAGTTTGCAAATAAATGTTCACAGCGCCTGAACTAAATAGGTCTGGTGATTTAAATGAAGGTTAAGCTTAATGACAAAAGTTTTCAAGAGACTGAGAAATATCAGGTAAATGTACTTTAAATAGGTGTAAATTAAAATAAAGCCTGCCATTATCCTCCATACAGCAAAGGGAAGAGTCACAGTATCGCTATTATCAAGGTATGAAAAGGAATATAAATGCTTTATAAAGTAAATCCTTCACTTCAGAAGGACCTAAAGTGACAGTATAGACGGCTCCATACTCTTTCACTCATCTAGATTGAAATTGCTGAATTTACATTTTAAAGAGTAATGAATTTGAGGACAAAATATCTAACAAGGTCATTGTTTAATTTTTTTTTTTCATGTTCCAAAGTGCATGGTTATAAAGTGTCACTGAAATCCATGGTCTGGAAGATGAAAAATATGTAGCTCTTATTTATCACTCTCACAATGTCCTGATGCAATCCCACAAATCCTGCAATATCCTACAGATGTCCCAGGAACAAAGCACCAGCCAATTCCACTCTATTCTTAGATATTACACCTATCATTCATAATGAACATTTTCAAATTAGGCTCCAGCAAGTAATTATGTTCCTGATGCGAACTGGCAATAAAAAAGAGCCCAGGCTTGATTAAACTGGGATTAAGAGGATTACTTAGAACCAACATTTGTTTTTGCTTTGTGTTTTAAACTTTATGTATTTACTTTTCTCCCTTGTAGAGTCATCAGATAAATGGCTCAGGAAGCTAAGAGACTGGAGGGCAGGCCTTGAAGAATTTCAGATGTGCTAACCTTCAAGAGTCCTTTCATCGCTAAAATTCCATAAATTTTTACTATTTATATAGGGATTTTGTTTCCTATTTCTAATAGGGATCATAATAGTGAGACTAACAACAATTTGCAGAGCATTTTTCATCATATTTTTTATCTCACAATTTTAATACTTTAAAAAGCCAATAAGAGCCAATCTAATGCTCAAAGGATTTTTTGGGCAGTGAGACTATTCTGTATGTCATGGTGGGTACATGTCACTATGCATGTGTCAAAACCCATTGAACTCTACAATACAAAGAGTGAGCCCTAAGCTAGGGACTATAGTTAATGATAACATATCAATATTATTTTTTAATTCCAACAAATGTACCACACTATGCAAAGTGTCAATAGGGAAGTCTGGGGGTGGGGGAAGGGTGACAGAATGGCATGGGGTGGGTGTATGGAGCTCTCTATCAATTTTTCTGTAAATCTAAAACTGTACTTAAATAAAGTTTAGCCGAAACCGGTTTGGCTCAGTGGATAGAGCATCGGCCTGGGGACTGAAAGGTCCCAGGCTCGATTCCGGTCAAGGGCATGTACCTGGGTTGCGGGCATATCCCCAGTAGGAGATGTGCAGGAGGCAGCTGATCGATGTTTCTCTCTCATCGATGTTTCTAACTCTCTATCTCTCTCCCTTCCTCTCTGTAAAAATCAATAAAATATATTTTTAAAAAAATAAATAAAAAAAAATAAAGTTTAGCCCTGACTGGTTTTGCTCAGTGGGTAGAGCATTGGCCTGCGGACTTAAGGGTCCCGGGTTTGATTCCAGTCAAGGGCATGTACCTTGGTTGCAGGCATATCCCCGGTAGGGGGTGTGCAGGAGGCAGCTGATCGATGCTTCTCTCTCATCAATGTCTCTAACTCTCTTTCCCTCTCCCTTCCTCTCTGTAAAAAATCAATAAAATATATATTTTAAAAAAAGAAAGTTTATTAATTATTCATTTTATTAAAAGGCACTAAAAGCTAATCTAAGGGCAAGGAAAGAAGTTGAAATGATTTAAATAGTTAACTTACATATTTTTTTATCTTTTGAATCCAAATTTCAGAGCGCCTGGTCATTTAGAAACAATTCCTGAAGAAGTCTCCCTAGAGTTCAAGCCAATAGTTTGCCCTGTGGCTCTAAAGGGGATCCTTGTTTTGGATATTGGGACTGAGAACAAGCCCTCAGGAGAAAGGCGCCCTTGCTAAACTGTACTTTGTATGTAGAACTGCTTTTCATAAAGCAATGGTTCTCAGATGTGAGCATGCACTGCAACCACTTGGAGGCCTAGTGCAGCACAGAATGCTGAGCCCACCCCAGAGTCTATGCCTCAGTAGGATGGGGCGGGGGCCTGGGAATGTCCATCTCTCACAAGTTCCCAGGAGATGGTGCTGACACACCCTGAGAGCCGCTGGTGTAGGAACCCTGGATATGTAGCGGTGCTTTGCTTGAGCAGACAGCCCAAAGTACAGAAATCATCACCCCCTGACGCCTGAATACCTTGGCACTTGGACCTAGAGGCTCTGGAATTGCTAGAAATGCACAGTCCAGGGGCTAAATGTACGTGACTCTGATTCCCATAATCCTTTGATTCCCTTGACCTGTACTTAGCTGAGAAAGGTGCAAGAAAAAGCCAGATTTGAATACGAAGTACTTAATTCTCAGTTGGTTAAGATATTGTTGAGTAAGATTTTTTTTTGACAGAATACCCAACTTTCTTTTACGGAAACTATTAGAAATGAATGATCAGTGACAACAGCGATCATTTACTGAGCACCTACTGTGTCTCAAGCTCTTTACGGACTTTTAGTGCTCTGCTTCTAGAGCCCTACAACCCACTGGATGTGTTTACTGTTTCTGTTCCAGCACTGTCCTTTAAGGACTCCCCAGAGCAGAGCTACATTTGCCTTCACCATGCGGTCTCTTGTTTATTTAGCAGTAGATTAAAATTACATAAGAATTATGAGTAGGTCTTGATCCCTGGCAGGAGAATAATGTCTAAAGTCTAGCCAGGACAAAGGTCTTAGTGTTTATTTTTGACAAATTTCCAAGGACAAAGACACCACAACCTCCAAAACCAGTTCTGTTGTTTATTAATATCTAATCAGTGATACGTACTAATGTATTGTTCTTTATTGATTGGTTGGCTGTCTGCTATATTACTTTGCTGTATAATAAATTTTTCCTTAGTGATTAGTTAAAATGATTTTCATTTTAAATTTAGCCTTCTGTGGACTTCTCATACATTGAAGATGGTAATAGTCACCTATTGGCATTTTCCTCCTCTGTTTAAATAACCTTTTTTTTTTTTTACTGCATAAATTTTGTGTTTTTCTCCAGTTCTTCTCTAGGTTCAGTGTATTAGCTAGTGTAGTGGGAACATTACTTTGAAGGTACTCTGTGGTATAAAATCATCTTTGCATTATATTCAATGCAAGTCAAATCTGTATTAGATTTGTTTAGTCTAATGTACAATCTGAACCCTTTCTCCCTCCCCTCCCTTACTATGTTACTTCCTCCTCCCATTCCCTTCCCCATTTTAATGTGTCTATTTTTTTTTTTTTTGAAGCAATTACCATTGCTCACAGTGACTGGCATTGTGGACTTTTTAATATCAGTTTTTTAAATCCCTACAGCAACTCAGCATGGTCAGCGTAAATCTCATTTTACAAGTAAAGAAACTGTGACCAGAAACATCGCAAGCAGGTAAGACTAGAAGAGCCAGGATGGGAACCAGGGTTGTCTGACTGCAAAATTCAGTCTCTAACTGCTATGTCTTCCAATTAACGCATCCTAGCATCAGTTTGATTTTTACATTATATATGTAATCCATTGTCTAATAAAAGTATAATAGAAACATGTGTTAATAGCTACAACAAATATCAATTTATTTAATCACCAACTCTGCCTAAACTCTTTGGTTTCTTACCATCCTTATTGTAAAAATAAAATACCATTATATATACATTTTTTGGAATTTTACTTTTCTAGCTTATAAGTTCTTTTTAGTCATACAGTGCTTTTCATTGAAATTTCCCCATTGCTTTTCCTAATGGGGACCTGCTGTTTCACTAAATTAACATATTATTTCCTATGTAGCCATTTTTATACCTGCAGTTCTTTGGATTACTTATAAGTTTTAACTACAAGACACTATGTTCAAATAGGTTATTTAAAAAAATTATTTCTTTGACACATGTTCCTCTATGTCAAGGGCTGTAACTGTCTCTAGTGTGAGTTGCCAAATCACTTGTAGACAGGTCCCACCATTTACGATGACATCATCAGTGTTAGAAACATCTAATAAAAACCCAGTAATTGCTTAACTTGTATTTTTAAAAATTATTAGTGAGATTGATCCCTCTTCAAGTATTGATTTACTTTTGTCTTCTAGAGTCAATTTTTCATTCATAACATTTATTGATTAGATTCTTTACAAATTCTCATTAGCTATATATATGGTAGGAACAACCTTTATAGATTATCTGTTGTGATTATTTTTCTATTGTGTTATGTATTTATTTATTTAAAATTATTTATTTGGCAGGTATTTATAAATGTTATACAGTCAGTCAGCTTGGAACTCTATTTCCTCAGAGCTCCATTCCTGCTCATATCAGAGAAGCCATCCTGACCACCTGTATAAAAATCTCTCTTCCCTCCTCAAATCACTCTCTATTCTGTTACTTTATTTGTTTTAATCACAGCCCATTTCAGATCTCATGATACATTTTATTATCTATTATCCTCCACTGGAATAAAACACTCCATGAGATAGGGACTTGATTATTTTCACTGCTGTGTTCCTAGGGCCTAGCACATAGACAGTGCTCAGTAAATATTATTGAATGAATGAAATTTGCCACTGAAAGTTTCTTCTGTTGCTTCAGTGGCCAAGAAATGAGCTTTCCTCTGAGACTAAGGCAATGCTACCATTCCATTTTCTTCTAGTTTATTTTAGTTTTACAATATTTCACTCTTTCCATTTGAAATTTTTTGTGTGGTATGACATAAATCTCTAGAATTTTTCTCTTTTGTGCTTCTTTTGAACCCATATTAGTTTACATTTATTTTTCAAACTTTATTTATATATTCTAAACTTGGCATTAGTGTTTCTAGTGGCTATCTATACTAATAAAAGGGTAACATGCTAATTAGACCGGGAGACTTTCCAGGAGGCCTTCCAGATGTCCTTCTGGACAAAGCCATGGTGGCGGGGCCGAGGCAGAGGAGGTTAGAGGCGATCAGGCTGGCGGGCGGGGGCAGTTGAGGGTGAGCAGGCTGGCAGGGGGGCAGTTAGGGGTGATCAGGATGGCAGGGGGAGCAGTTGGGGGTGATTAGACTGGCGGGGGGGGGGAGTTGGGGGCGATCAGGCTGGCAAGCAGAGTGGTTAGGGATGATCAGGTAGGCAGGCAGGTGAGTGGTTAGGAGCCAGCGGTCCCGGATTGCGAAAGGGATGTCTGACTTCTGGTTAAACCAGCAGTTGGATATCCCCCGAGGGGTCCCAGGTTGGAGAAGGTGCAGGCTAGGCTGAGGGACACCCCCCACCCCTGCATGAATTTCGTTTAATTATAATGTGGCTTAAGATTTTATAGAACCGACTCCCTCTAGACACTTTCCATCCCCAAAAGTTTACTTGATAATCTTACCCCTATCTTTTCCACATACTTTGTATAATTTCTATGAGATATCTTATTGAGATAAATTGGTATTGTATGAAATCTATAAATCAATCTAGGAGGCCCTGTAATATTTACTGTCTTAACTCTACCAGAGTTTTCCTTATTCAAGTTGTTGTTTAGTTCTGCCATTAAAGTTTTGTAATTCCAGATATATAGATCTCTTCTCACTTCCACTAAATATTTGATTTTTATCATTGTTTATAAAAAATACATTCTGTTTTTTCAATGCATTTTTTATTTTTTTAAAATGACATTAACAGAATTATTTTTTGTAAGTTTATTTTATACCTATGACATTCTTAAACTTTTTTTACAAACTATTATTTTTAATGAATCTCAAATTTTCTAAATGTGAATTTCCATTTGCAAAGAGTGATTTTTAAAATCTTATATTTATTCTTTGATTTCTTTGCCCTACTATATTTCCTCTTAAATTATATTTTATAGAAATGTTAATGGGAACATAATTTAAGAACAGTTGCAAAATTTCTTTATTTAAATAATGTCTCTGATTTGGAGTAAATGTGCTTTACTGTGCTAAAGGAAAATTCTTCTATATTTTGTGAGTCTCTATCAAGAGCTACAAAATCTCTCAAATGCATTTATAGTGTCATGACTTTTCTGCTATTTGAAATTCAAATAATGACTTCTATTGACAGTTTCCTTAATTTGGTATTATTTGCTATATTTTGCTTCTTAAGAGCCAATGAATTTAGTATTTATTGCCACAGGTAGGATTAATCTAGAATTTTCTTTCTTGTGCTGTCTGCCAGGCTTTATAATCCAAATTATTTGCTTCATAACATTAGGAAAATAAAACATATTTTCTTCTATATTTAAAAGATTACAAACATCTGCTAGATGATTTTGACTGTCCAAAAACTGTCCAGTAAAAGTCAGAACTATGTCCTTTTCTTTTATGGGAGCTCTTCGATAAAAGCTTTCTGTTTTCAAGTTTTGATTGTGCCAGTTTTGCCTCTTTGTGTTTTTGTTAAAACCATCTATTTAATTTAGGGTTTCCAAGCTATTAAAGCAAAGTTGTAGATAATCTTTCTCAATAACAATTTTCTAATCTTCCTATTAGCTGATGTGACACCTTTCAAGTTTCCAATTTTGCCCTTTAAAGGAAAAAAGTTGTACGGTGGTTCCCCCCCCTTTTTTTTGTTGTTTATTCATTTTGAAGAATCAACCACAGTTTCTATCACTTTAAATTACTTACATTTTGTATTGTTTATTACTTTTTTTAGTTTTGTTTTCCTGTTTCCCCTGTTCCTTTTTACATTAAAAAAAAAACAACTTATGAGCCCCGCTGGCATGCCTCAGTGGTTGAGTGCTGACCTATGAACCAGAAGGTCACGGTTCAATTCCTGGTCAGGGCACATGCCCAGGTTGTGGGCTTGATCCCCAGTGTGGGGCATGCAGGAGGCAGCTGATCAATGATTCTCTGTCATCATTGATGTTTCTCTCCCTCTCCCTCTCCCTTCCTCTCTGAAATCAATAAAAATGTATTTTATAAAAATAAAAAGAATTTAGACACCATTCATTGCATCCCTTGTTTTCATTATTGCTAATATAAATATTTAGATCCAAATTTTCCTCTGGTTTCTTTTTAGGCATTACTCCAGAATGACCGGATTAACTTTAATCTTTACAATACTGTAGTGCTCTCTCCCATTCATCTTGCAATTGGATATTAAAGTTATGAAAATAGTTTTTTTTCAGATTATTAAGTTGTTAGTTGGAAATGTAGAAAAGTGTGAGGGAAATGTGGAGGAGAAAAGATAGAGAAGTATAAAATAAAAGAAAGAGCACCCATCATCACTCCAGAAATCCAGGCCCCCTAACTCCCAAAGGGGGACCCTGCCATTCTTGTTTATTTTCTTCAGCACACACAGTGACACCGGGCAGGCAGCCCAGAATGGAAATGAAATTTAGATGAGATTGAACCAAAATCGGGTCATTAAGAGTTGACGATGTCATCATTCGATTATATTGTATCTATGCCCGAGACTCCAGCAACAAACCCCCGAGTTGCAGGGATCGGAAAGCGTCCACTCATTTACTTTACCTCCTATGGCGGCACCCCCGGCACCTCCCTGCCTCACGCACCTGGATTCTCCAGCCTTGAGAGCCGTGCTTATTTCCGAGGTCCTATCTTTCATCTCTTCGCAGGCATCTGGCTCGCTCTCTACTGGCGTCAAGGTCGTTTGGAAACATCTCTCACCTTCGAAAGTCAGTGTTACATTTGAGATGGTGACGTGCTTTGAGAATTCTTTGAGCTCATTCTTACTCTTTGTATCTCGTAGACACCCAGGCTTCAGACATTTTTCCAGTTTTTCCTTTGAAAATAGTAAGCAGCAGCAAATCAGGTCACAGGAGAGCATCATCGAGCAGTAGATGACTTATGGAGCCATATCTAAAACAGCAATCATTTCTTTCAGACTTACTCGATGCGCAGGCGCAGTGAGGAGGGACTGACGCTTGCTGTCGCATGGCCGGTGGGGAGGCCAGGTGGATGTTGGGGGCTGGCAGTGTGGGGACCCAACGCAGCACATTGAAAAGCGCATGTGGTCATGTACTGAAGTCACCTCTAAATTACAGTACTTCCTCTCCCCGAATTGTCAGGGAAAGGAAGGTTTTCTAGAAAGGCCTTGCTAGGTACTCCCCAGTCTGAGGCTGCCCTTGGTTTAAGAGCATTTAATAGGTGAGAAACTCTACCTAAACCTTAATGCCCTAAAATCTCTCCCGTTCTAATTTCCTGGTTTCTGTTAATGCAGCACCTCTCTGAGTGGCTCGCTGCCTTCCTGGGACTCCAAGGCTCAGAGCAATGGGCTGGCAGGTTCTGAATACTGTGTCTCTCTAGCATCGCCTGCGTCTGCACCAACTAGTCCATCACCTCTGTTACCTTTCTGGAAAGTGATCTTCCTCCTAAAAACTTCATTTTAAGTCTGACAATGAAAGAAATACATATTTATTATAGAATAATTTTAAAAATGCTATCCTATATAACAAAAGGCTAATATGCAGATTGTCCCCTGGACCAGGATTTCAACCAGGTGGCAGGGCTGGCAGCCAACCACCCGCAGCCCCTCTCCCCAGCCGGCCCAGCCCCATTGGCCCCTATCAGGGAGGGCTGGCTGGACCCCACTTGTGCATGAATTTGTGCACCAGGCCTCTCGTAATATTTAAAGTGAAAGGAAGAAAATTATTGCCAGCCTGATGCACTGGCCAGAAATAACCACTCCTCTGGCACATTTCACTTGGTCCCTGTGCCCATTTATTTACTTTATATGTGTCTGTTCTGTGACCATATTTCTGTTTCATATGCTACATTTGTCACTTAATGATTTATTATAAACGTTTTCCTTATATCATTAAAACTTGAATTCTTCTAATTAAAAATGAATCCTTTTGTTGTAGGAAACACTAAACTCAGAAAAGTGTGAAGAAAACATGAATTGCTTATAATCCCCCAATCCAAAAATAGACTGCTATTAATAATATGACTTTCCCCCTTCTATTGTCTCTGTACCGTACGGATCACATTCTTCATTTTTTAACTCAACTTTATATCATGAAGATTTCTCCAAGTAAAGAACAATTCTTCAACAATTTTAATAGCTACAGAGTATTCATTCATTTAACAAATATTTACTAAGTGTCTATCAACTTGCCAGATACATACTATAGTCATTCCTGAATTAGACAAATATGGGGTCTGCCCTGAATGGATTTAAATCCAGTTAGCCATTTTCCCTGTAGTGGACATTTAGGTTACTTCCATATTTTCATTTTTAGAAACATGGTATGAATGTGGAATAATTAGCATCTTTATAGCTAAATCCTCATTCCTATTTCTGTTTAATTCCTTTAGAAAGATTCCTAGAAGTGGAATCACTGAGTCAAAGGGTATATTTTAAGGTTTGTAGCAATTTTCTTTTTTTTAAAAAAAATATATTTTATTGATTTTTTTACAGAGAGGAAGGGAGAGGGATAGAGAGTTAGAAACATCGATGAGAGAGAAACATCCATCAGCTGCCTCCTGCATACTCCCTACTGGGGATGTGCCCACAACCAAAGTAAATGCCCTTGACCGGAATCGAACCCGGACCCTTCAGTCCGCAGGCTGACCCTCTATCCACTGAGCCAAACCGGTTAGGGCAGTTTGTAGCAATTTTCATCCCTACCATAAATCTATATGAATTCCATATTAACCACAGCTTCACTAACACAGACTACTTTTATTCTTTTTTTAAAAAAATATGTTTTATTGATTTTTTACAGAGAGGAAGGGAGAGGGAGAGGGATGCAGAGTTAGAAACATCGATTCAGCTGCTTCTTGCACGCCCCCTACTGGGGATGTGCCCGCAACCCAGGTACATGCCCTTGACTGGAATCGAACCTGGGACCCTTCAGTATGCAGGCAGACACTCTATCAGCTGAGCCAAACCGGATAGGGCTACTTTTATTCTTTTAAGTAACAGTTTTACAGGTTAGATTCTTTCTAAATTTGAATTTCTTTGATTATGAATGAGGTTAAACTTTTCCATTGTATTTACTGGAAGTTTCTTCTTCTGTGAAACTTCTTCCTTGCCCATTGCCATTTTTTTAAAAAAAATTGTGGGCCCCCTGGGCTTTTCTGCAGTAGTCTTCAAATTGATTTCTTTGCCTACAATCCATTCCGCCATCAAATTAATCTTTTAAAAACACAGCTCCTGGCCCTGGCCGGGTGGCTCAGTTGGTTGGGGAGTCGTCCCATACACCAGAAGGTTGCAGGTTACATCCCCAGTTGGGGTACATGCAGGAGACAACTGGTGGATGTTTCTCTCTCACATCAGTGTTTCTCTCTCTCCCTTTCTCTCTCCAAAAATCAATTAAAAAACACACAAGATCTCAGTCTTAAACACACACACACACACACACACACACACACACACACACACACACACACAAACCACAGCTCCTTCACACCCTTACGGAAAAGGCTATTGTGACTAAGGTATGCCCAAAGACCAAAATCCACACTTCTTATTTTGGCATTCAAGGTTTGCAAGCAATTTTTCAATTCTATATCCTATTATTCTCTGCATATATTAAGCTCCAGCTGAACAGGACTAACCATTCTTGGATATGGCTCTGCATTTTTCTACTTTCTGGCCTTTTCTATAGCCACTCAATTCTTTTGGTATTATAATTTCTACCCTCACTTTTCCCTACTGAAGTTTCATCCCATCCTTCAATGTACTTTTTATATACATTTAAACCTTAAAATAGCCCTTACATGATATTCATATTCTCATCCTAGAGATGAGGAGACTGAAGCTCATGCAGGTTCAGTGACTTGGCCAAACCACGCTGCAGCAGGGCAAGGTTCCAAGCCAGGTCTCGGACTCTGATTCCAAAGTTCTTCCCATCCCACCATAACTTTCTGACATTGGGGTGCGTTTGGTGGTAAGGATGGTCACTACCTATTTCAAGAGACACCTGACAACTCCTTTACACCAAGGATCAGATCTCATTATTAAAATTAGAACAAGTTCCATGGCATTTTGATAATCACCATCAGGGAACTAACCAAGAAGAGCCATCTTGGTGATCACCCTTGTTCTTGATGATTAAAGAATGAAAGTCTTCCATGTCACATACCTTTTCCTCCTGCTTGGCCCTTAGTATGTCATCATTTTCAAATACCACTCTGACCCCCGAGCTGTTTGTGCCATCATGGAGGTCTGTGACTTCTGTGACTTCTGTGAAAATGTTTACATCTGGGGCCTCAGTGACCTCCTGCTCTGGAACATCCGTGACATCCGTGACGTCAGTGATGACTGTTAATTCTGAGAAATCAGTGCTCTCCAGGCCGTACACATGGTCCGAATACATGTACGGATGGGAAGTCTGTACAGCGGTGAATTCTGCGATATCCATGATGTCCATCGAGCCTGTGATGTCTGTGCTATTTGTGAGTTCCGAGAGGCTCGAGACTTCTGACACTTTGGAAACTTTGGCTTTCTCCTGGTTCAAGAGGGCGATGAGCTCTACCCACTGAGAAAACAAGGCGTCCTGTTTGTAGGCGGGGGCACAGAGCTGGAGGTAGTAGGCTCGACCACTTGCCAGCTTCACTTTGAGGCGCATTTTCTCAGCATCGTGCACAGACAGAGTCACAAACTGCAGAGGGAGAAACCTGCAAACAGACGCAGAGGTCACCTGGAGGCCAGATCGGAGGCCTCTCAGAAGGCCTTTCCTCTTACATTTTATAGCAGTTTGTAGCGTGAGACTTAGGACAGTGATGGCGAACCTTTTGAGCTCGGCGTGTCAGCATTTTGAAAAACCCTAACTTAACTCTGGTGCCGTGTCACATAGAGAAATTTTTTGATATTTGCAACCATAGTAAAACAAAGATTTATATTTTTGATATTTATTTTCTATATTTAAATGCCATTTAACAAAGAAAAATCAACAACAAAAAAATGAGTTCGCGTGTCACCTCTGACACGCGTGTCATAGGTTCGCCATCACTGGACTTAGGACAACAGACTGGTCTCCCACACAGGCCTGGGGAGGGGCAGGCAGGGACCTGGCAGTGCCTTCCCATGGCCACCAGGTCCCCAGGCTGGTCCTTAGTTTAGGAGGCTCAGAATGTTCATTTTCAGTACATGTCATCAGGCTGCTGGGGGTCATCCCACCTGGGTCACACTTCTAAGACTCTGACGTACTACAAAAATCAGAGAACCGACATTTACCGCGAGAAACTGTCCTGTGTCATCCTGCAGAGTTGAGACTTAGAGAAGGTGGGTGATTGGCTCTGGGCCGCACAGCAAGTTGGTGGCTTGAGACGCAACCAGAGCTAACTACTTCTGGTAGCCGTTAGGATGTTGGGGGGGAGAGGGGCATGTTCTACAGAGGCAGTTTGAGTTTTCAGTTCCTGTTAATTAAGTTCAATTGAAATAAAAGTTTACCTCGTTTGACTGCCAGGTTGGCATAAGCCAGGTCCCCAGTTTCGAGGGCGTGGCTCTCATTTGCAGCAAGGAGCACAAGTGAGAGGCTCCCTCGGAGCAATTGTCATCGTTGTGTCCATTTTCAGCTCCTCGGGGGCAAAGCCCATTTTCTGAAACACCCTTCACCTCTTCCCTTTGTAACTCACCTGGTGAGCACCAGTTTCTCTGGAGAAGATCTCAGGAGACTCTTAAACAGGGGTTCTCTGTCCTTCTGGGCCATGGGTGTGAGATGTGCTAGCAGCATCACGTTGGGGGTCTTGTGGGTGTGGCTGGAAGAGCAGATGGCAACAGCCACCCAGTTGGCTCGGTTATGAAGGTAAATGGATTCACCTCTTCTATTGACCTAAGGCAGAGAACAGGAAGAGGGGTTTTCTGATGAGGTGCATGGTCCCGACTACCTTGCTTACCTGTAGGAAACAGGAACATTGAACCATGTGATGCATGTGTTCACCACTCTCTCCTGTGACTTCTTGGAGCTCTCCCACTAAAAAGGCAGACATGGCTCCTGACTGTGGAGGTCTACCAGGGAAGTGAACACTGGACAACTATGCCACTTATTATTATTATTATTATTATTATTATTATTATTATATTATTATTTAATCCTCATCTGAGGGTATGTTTATTATTTGTTTGTTTGTGTGTTTAGAGAGAGAGGGGAAGGGAGAAAGAAATAATAGGAATAATGAGTTTTGAGTATTTTTGCCTTTGTTTTGAATGTAATTTAATTGGAAAAGTTTATAGGATTTAATTTTTAATAATGGCTGTGTTTAACAACCTCTGGCAAACTTCCTAAACACTCACCAATCTGCCAGTCCCAGACACCCTGGCCATAGGGTCAGAGAAGTCTCCTTGAGAAAGGGACCTCACTGAGACCTGAACAATGTGGCAGATAAACTGGCTGTGTGGACAGAACTATTTTTTAATATATATTTTATTGATTTTTTTTTTTTTTTTTACAGAGAGGAAGGAAGAGGGAGGAAGAAACATTGATCAGCTGCCCCCCGCACACTCCCCACAGGGGATGTGCTTGCAACCAAGGTACATGCCCTTGTCTGGAATCGAACCTTGGACCCTTCAGTTCACAGGCCAATGCTCTATCCACTGAGCCAAACTGGTTGGGCTGGACAGAACTTTTAAGCTGAGGAATTGCATGTGCAAAACCTAAGAATCTCAGCCAGTAAAATCTTCACAGTTGGAAGAGGAGGAGACTGGAAAGTGGGTGGACAAGGAAATGAAGGAAGCCAGAGAAGTTCCAAGCAAACTTGGTTTCTCAGCTGTATAATAACTGGCTCAAAAAATAAATCACTTAAAAACAAATATACTCTAAAAGACCCACACTATTTATTATCTACTCAACACCATGCTCCTTTTCTGCCTGATGAGCAGAGTTCTGGTTTTGTTTGGTACCCACCCGTCAGAGATGGTGTTCCAGCTCAGGGGTTAAATTATGATTGACTTAGCCCAGCCGGTGTGGCTCAATACTTGAGTATTAAAGTCACCAGTTCAATTCCTGTTCAGGCCACATGCCCGGGTTGTGGGCTCAATCCCCCGTGGGGGGCATGCAGAAGACAGCTGATCAATGATTCTCTCTCTCATCAATGTTTCTATCTCTCTCTCTCTCCCTTCCTCTCTCTAAAGTCAATAAAAATATTAAAAAATTACAATAAACCAGTCATGCTGACCCATCCCCTTGCAAGCAATTGCTTTTAGCAGCAGCATGTGACCCAGGCCTGGCCAATGAAACACTAGTGGGGGCCTCTTGGTGGCCCTGGGAAAGGATTCCGAGTCCTCACAGAGTTGTAAGGATGAGAGGCATCTCTTTTGTTGCTGGCAGTCACTGACCTATTTGCATGTGATGTTTGAGGGGAGCTAACTTGAGGGTGACAGAGCAAAAGGAGGGAGCCTGGGTCCTTGATGACTCCCCGTGGGCGAGCTGATGCCCTGAGGTTCTGGCACTCTGTCTGAGATCATTGTTATTCTTTTTCATTTAAACTTGTTGACTCAGGAACCTTAGTAGCTTGCTGCATGTTGAAGGGAATAACCTTATCCAATTATGATATGGGGCCCTGGATGGTCTGTAGAATGCTAACTGGCCCCTACCCCCGTGTTCATGAGAGCATGCAAAGGTTATTTGAAAAGTGTGCAGGAAGAAATGTGAAAAAAAAGAATAGTAAGTACGAAGCACATGGAAAATAAAGTACATACAATTATGACTTATTCTACGTGTTCTGGGCAACACCGAAGCATCAGTGTTCTTTGAGGCATCACTTCCTGCCTACGGTTCTGGAGGGGAGGAGGTCTCCCGGGCTCCCAGGGGTCAGTGCAGAGAACGTGTTTATGGAAGATGAAGAAGTAAGCATCTGTAGTCATCTCTGTGGCATCAGCTGAGGAGCTGTTTGAATGGATGCGTTTCATGTTAGACTTGGTTGTGGCATTTCAGTGAAGTTTAGAGGTACAGCCTACTACACCATTGAACTCATTTCCCTATTTCTTTGTCTGAATATATATATTTTTAAATATGTTTTAATTGACTTCTGAGAGGGGAATGGAGAGGGAGAGAGAGATAGAAACATTAGTGATGAGAGAGAATCATTGATTGGCTGCCTCCTGAAAGCCCCCTGTTGGGGATTAAGCCTGAAACCTGGGCATGTGTCCCAACTGGGAATTGAACCCTGACCTCCTGGTTCATAGGTTGACTCTCAACCACTGAGCAACACTAGCCAGGTTTGTTTGAATATTTTAATGTTGAATGTTCAAAGGAAAGTTAGAACTGCTCCCAAATGCATTGATATATAGTTTCATTCATAATGTAGGTACATTTTTATGAAAGGAAATTTTTCTCCCTGACACAATTTGACAACTGTAGTTCACCTTCAGAACTAAAATCCAAAATTCACTTTAAATCCCAGTTGTGTCATAGGTGTTATTCTTTAAAATGTCTTCTAAAGCTAAGAAAGGAATTATTAGAATGCTTTCCTGTGGCAGGATATCCTAAAAATGACTACCATCTCTTCATGTAATTTTGAGCAGATTATGATAGAAAATTATGGTAGAGTTAGGACAGCATTCCTAGGTTAGAGCTGGGAAAATTTAAAATGAATTTTTACTTAACATTATAATTATTTTCAGTTGTCTAAAGTTCCAAAACTGTTCCCTTTAACTGTATCACACATTCCACTGCCACATTTAAAACAATTCTCCTCCCAACCTTTTCCGTCATCTTTGAGTAAGTTAATGACTGAAATGATTGTAACATAATTCAGGGCTCTAATTTTTACCTGGATGAAATTGCCCTCTAACATGGGAGGAGATACAAAAGGGGCATACTCTCCTCCATCCAATATGTTTTTGAGATCTCCTGGACCGTGCGAGGGTGGGGTGCAGATGGCGTCTCGCTCACTGATCCTCATGGTAAGCTTCCTGTTGCTCTTCTTCATTGTGCTTCCACACAAACATCCGACCATCGACAAAGTGGACAGACAACGAACAGATGCAGAGAAAATTTAACATAACACGTAAGTAGCTTCACTTATTCATTCATTCAACAAATCTCATCAACATCTATGATATGCTAGGCGACGTGCTGAGCATTGGAGATACATCCGAGAGGTCTGATAAGATCCCTCCCCTCAAGCAGCTTATAGGCTATGGGGAAACAGGAAGCAAGTTCAAAATCAGATGTGGCTTTGGCCAGGGAGCTTAGTTTGTTAGAGCGTCGTCCCCATGAGCCAAGGTTGCAGTTTTGATCCCTGGTCAGGGCACATACAAGAAGCAACCAATGAATGCATGAGTAAGTGGAAGAACTAATCGGTATTTCTCTCTCTCTTTAAAAAAATGAAGGTGTTGTATGATAAAGGCCACAGAGACTGTAGAACAGAGATACCTGGAATATGAAGTTCCTGGGGTATAGGGCTGGCAACACTAATTAATTAGGCTGGTTAGGAAAGGCCTCTCGAGGAGGCCTCACAACACATGCCCCATTTCCCCTAAACCATTATTTTCTGTCTTCTTAATTAATGTACCACTACTCTTTCCATCATTCAGAGTTCACAGTCCTCTTCTCCTCCTCCTCCTCCTCCTCCTCCTCCTCCTCCTCCTCCTCCTCCTCCTCCTCCTCCTCCTCCTCCCTCCTCACTCCTCCTCCTCCCTCCTCCTCCTCCTCCTCCTCCTCCTCCTCCTCCTCCTCCTCCTCCTCCTCCTCCTCCTCCTCCTCCTCCTCCTCCTTCTCCTTCTTCTTTTTTCAATCTCTATTACAAAGGTTAGGGCGTTTCTTATCTCCATTCCAGGGAGTAAAGATTATGTAGCTTAAGCATGATTGTTCATAGTTAAAGTGATTAATTACCCGCCTGGCACTTAGTTAAGAGGTTTTATTCCCTCCCTAACTTCAGGGGAAAATCCCTACCTGGGGAAACAATCTTTCTCAGAGACCTTGGTTAAAACACATAGTGCCAAGAAGGTGAGCAAACATATTAAGAACAGTATGCCATATATGCCAGGTCCCTTGAAACAGTAAGGATGGACCGGCTCCCGGCAGGTATGGAAACTATACTAAACTGAGAACACTTCTTCCTGATCATTCATCCATCACCAAGGCTTATCTCTTGGTTGGGAGGTAAATAGTGGATATTGATCTAATCAATGACAGTCATTCATCTCTTGCTCTCTCTCTGGCAACTGCTTCAACAGACAACAATGGCTATATATTATCTTTCATCTATCAGAAATCACAGAATTCCAAGAAGGGAACAAGACTTCAGAGTGTAATTCTGCTCAAATGTTCAAAATATCCCCTTCCCTCTTCACAAACCCCATGCCTGTGAGAGGAAGAGTTTTTAAGTGGCACGTAGTAGCTCCTGCATGCAGATTTTCACCTCTGTCCTTTCTCAGAGACACGTTTCCCCTCTAGCCGAAGCTAATAGGTAAGTAGTGAGCATGTCTCGTTGCTGCCCCTGCCAGGGTCGTGGGGTGCAGAGACCACCACTACCTGACATCCTACAAGCATATGCCGGGCATGGAGAGTGTGGGAATTCCCCAGACCTTCTGCTTGTGGAGCTCAAAGGATGCCTCCCTTTAGCTCATCTTTTTTTTTTTTTTTTTAACTGCTTTCAGAGAGGAAGGGAGAAGGAGAGAGAGTTAGAAACATCAATGATGAGAGAGAATCATTGATTGACTGCCTCCTGCACGCAACCCGGGCATGTTCCCTGACTAGGAATTGAAACCTGACCTCCTAGTTCATAGGTCCATGCTCAACCACTGAGCCACACTGGCCAGTCCCATTAGCACATCTTATACATGAACCAATGGGAAGTAAAATGAGTCAAGAAGAGCAAGAAATGCCCTAGCTGGTTTAGCTTAGTAGCTAGAGTGTCAGCCTGAGAACTGAAGGGTCAGGTTTGATTCTGATCAAGGACACATGCCTGGGTTGTGGGCTTGATCCCCAGTAGGGGGTGTGCAGGAGGCAGCCAATCAATGATTCTCTCTTATCACTGATGTTTCTATCTCTCTCCCTCTCCTTTCCTCTCTCTGAAATCAATATAAATATATTTTAAAAAATGAAGAGCAAGAAAGTAAAATAGTCTAGAGAAGCCAAAACATAAAAAGAATGGGATAAAAGAAAGCATTCAGGGATGGGTGTGGGAAGAGATAAAACAACTTCCACCTAACACAGAGAGGAAGGAAATAGTAATTGATAGAATTTATTTAGTGCTTGTCATGTGGGAAGCAATACAGGCCTTACATGCCCTACCTCATTTAATTCTGGTAACACCATGAAGTAGCATTATTAAGATATTCCATTTATACACTATGCCATTGAGGCTTGAAGACAGAAAGTAACTTACCCAACATCACACAGCTTGCAAATCCCACACCAGGAACTAGACACTCAGGGTCTAACTAGAGGAGCTTATGTCATTGCTCAAGATTCAGTCCTGCCTTGAGTGCTTGGGAAGACTGGCAAGGGTGGGAGGAGTCAGGATAGGTCAGAATGAATGGGAAAGAGGAAGAAGGAGGAAGAACCAAAGAATACAGAAGGTGTCCTTCCCCTCCTTCCTGTTCCTGTCCCTTCCTGAACAATTTAATTCTAAATGTATTAGCTGAACAAAGAGGCAGGAATCTGAGGTGGGGGAAGCTGCAGCCCAGAACTGGAGGGAGGAAGGAGGGTACCTATTACCAGGAGAGGGGGGTACAGCTCAATGTAAGAGCCGGGGGAGGGTGAGGAGGGCATCCAAGTGGGAAAGAGGATGGTGTGAGAGATATGTAATCAGTTACATCCCAGGAATTGATCTAATACAATAGGAGACCATGAGACTCTATGCTGATTTAAATACATAAATTAATTAGAAGTTTGATGAGGAACAGAATATTTACATATTTCAAACCTACATACTCATTAATTTCAAAGGGGGAAAAGTAACTTTACAGTGAAGAAGCCAGGCAGACACCTCTTAAATGAAGTGATCAGTGAACCCTGTCAGCAGTGGCTGTGAAAGCAGTGTACCACCAGGCAGGATGCAATGAGCAGCACCCAGCATCCTTCTGTGATATTCCTCCCAAAGATGCATCACCTGAGTCCCATCATTAGGAAACATCAGACAGATCCAATTCAGGGACATTCAACAAAATAACTGGCTTGTGGTCTTAAAACATGTCAAGATAATGAAAGCCAGAGGAAGACTAAGGCACTGTCCTAGACTGAAGGAGACCAAAGAGACAGGCCAACCGAACTGGATCCTCTAGCTTTGCAGATCCTCATTGGGACAATCGGCAGCATTTGAATGGGGTCTCAGGATCAGATGGTGGTAATATGCAGTGTTCATGCCCTGATTTCGATGATCACATTTTGGCTATGTAGAAGGACATCTATGATTGTAGGAAACAGAAACTAAAGTACTTGGGGATAATAGGGCATCATGTTGAAAATTGTTCTCAAAAATTTCAGAAAATATTTCTGTAAGTTCGTAATTGCTTAAAAAATTAATGGCGATAATAATACAAAGAAAGAGAAAGTAAAAGAGGTGGAGAGGAGAGGGTCGGGGAGGGGAGATAGATGAATTCTGAGGTTCAGACCATGAGTGAAAAAGGCTATATTAAACCACTTTAGATTTCCAAGGACAGAGCTTTGTAACGGCAATGAAAGAATTTTCATAGTGACTGAAAGGCTAGGAAAAAAAGCCTGTTGTCATTTCCATATTCTCTGCTCCATAACTTATCCCGTAGGACAAAACATGCATCCCATCATCGCTCAGTGGTCGGAGACACTGAGGCTGCCTGAGAGAACCAGAGGACACAGCGAGTGCTCCAACTCTCAACTGGATCCCTTGGGGGCCCAAATATAGGGTGTCCCCCCAAATGTATACACACTTTAACAGCTGATAACTCACTTGACTTTCATTCCTTTTCAGGTTTAACTGATTTGAAATAATAGGTGCAACCAGACTAAGCTTTGAACAAGAAAATTTATTTTAAAGTGCCTCATTAGACTTTTTAATGAGGATACATAAAAGAGAAAGTTTAAGGTACAAAACCCGGTTGACGAATTGAGGCCTCACAAGTACTGAATGAAATAGTTCTTGATGTTTGCCATTCCATTGCTTCCTGTTATCAGCAATGCCTGGATCAGAACAATCATCAGTTTGAAAACAGTCACTGACAAACAGCCTTATTCTTTTCTGTAGATTAGTTAAAATTTTGAAAATGAACTGTATGTTAATAAACACTAAATAAATCATGTACATATTTTTGGGGACATCCTATCTATGAAGATCGCCTAGAACATGTCAAGAAAGCTTTGGAATGGAGCATTTTTTAAAGGAGAGTAAGGTGTAATGGAGGAAGGAGAGTGAAGGCCCCCGACCTTTCGGGTCTGGCTGACAAGCAATCACACAACTGTTCTCCCTCCATTTCCCAGAACAGCTGTGCTTTCTTGCAGTTTTGTCCCTCTCAGCTCAGATTCTCATATTGGTGCATGTGTCCCTTCTTGAATCTAGAAAAGTGGATCATCCAAAGCCACATCTTTGGTACACTGAATTCCAGAAGGGGGAAAGAGGAAAAGAAAGCCCGGGAAGGGAAGGAAGTACAAAACGAAGGGAAAGAGAAAGGAAGAAGGGTAGACAACGGGAAGAGGAGCAGGGGATGGCGTAGCTCACCACAGGCTCAGCGTGTGCACCATCACATCTTACCTCAATTCAGGGCCAAGCCAGAATCTTCTCTTGGAGACAGCGTTTTTAACTCACTTCAGTTTGGGCTTCCTCATTTTCATGATGAAGTCTTTTGTGAAAGAAAGAAAAATAAAGTATGCAGTGCAATTTCAAGAAAATTTCCACACTAATCCTTACTCTTATTTCAAATGTGAGGTCCATGGCTTAGAAAGAGTTCTTCTGGCTGAACCCAGTGGGTGACGTGGTCAGAGGGCTGCTGGCCACATCTGAGCCGAGCT